CCTAGGGGGTTAGGGTTAAATGAATTCAACTCCATTTGATTTGTGCTGGTAGCCAACCAAATGTCCACCATAAGTACATATTTTGCCTACTTATCCCCATATAATCATATTTATAAATATGAAGGTGCTAATTTGTATTTTACATGATCAAAGTCACTCTTTAGGAAGTTTTGAAAAATGACATCCAGAGTTGCATTTGGGTCCCTTTTATGAAGAGCATGTCACATATACAGTCAAGTGGTGCTTGAAATACGTGTAAGTCATCTCAGACTCAACCAAAAGCCCTGTGTCTACCATGCTTTACCTCCGACATCCTGTTAGAGTCCGTCACCTCTAAGTCGCTGATGATTTCCGGTTCTTGTTTATCTTCGTCTTCCCTCCTTGGCTCGTCTCGTCTCTCCTCCCGGCTAATTGCCTCTTGACTGCCTTTCTCTACATGTATGTCTTCAATGGTGTCATCTCCTACCGGTGCCTGGGTACTGTTGTCCTCTGTCCTGCCTTTGCTGATGCTGTCCTTCTCCTGGCCTCTTCGCCTCAGGAGCTCATGAGCGATGTTGGCAGCAATGGCCTGTGCATACTCCTCTTCTATTTCAGCAGTCGTATCTGCAAAGAATGCGGGTAAACCATGGATGCAAATGCAAACATGAAAGACAAGTATGTCGGCGGTGTAGGTTGGGTCTAATGACAAACACATATACCAAACAGCAAAAAATTGAAACCCACTATCATTTTGAATCAGTCAAGTGTAATATACATGTATATGTATCTATGCAATACATGCACATGATTTGATAGGAATACAATGCATGTGTACGTACATAAAGTGACTCCTCAAATCCCCACTGGTCTGTACCAGTACACCATTTACCTTTCTCTTGGTCACTTTTCTCCTGTCGTTGTTGCTGCCACACAGGACTACTAGTACCATCTTGAGTCATAATGTGACACAGCTGTGTAGTATCAAGACCTCCTGTGGGTATTTCCTCCTCAAAACAGCTAACAAAACAAGACAGGAAGAAGTTCCTGTTACAATGAACATTCAAGTCCACCAACAATCACCTGTTTGAAACACTTCATTGATATACATGTACATTTACACAGTTCTTCATTTTAAGAAAATCCAGGAGAGCTATAAATTGCTGACATGCGCCGCCTTTGTGAACTCTGCATTGAAAGGGAAGGCGGACATGCGGAAGGTGTTGGTGCATAATTAATTGTGAATTATGTAATAATTGGTGTGCCCGTGATCTCTTATCCAGGACAAGCATAACAGAGGGCAACCTCATTCACTGGTTTATCCAAAGTGTTACAACTGAGTTCGGATGCTTCGTTTTCAAGACAATGATGTTCAGTCATGCATGACAGGAGGGATACCATCAAAGTATCATTAGAAAGAATACTGCTTCTACTTTTCGGAGATCCTTATACATTATAATCATACCTCATGGTTTGGGCATATTAACCCCTTTCCTCAGGGCTTGGTTTTTTCTGGGACACCCTGTCATGTTCTTGGGGCAATTTTTAAAATTAATTCAGTTTTAGTTCAGTTAGAAATGGGTTTGCGACACATGTTTGCCATACATACATCGTCCCAGTGCTTGTTTTTCATTTGACCCAGAATTTTTATACTTGTGAATTAAACATCAACTATTTAAGCCTGACTAACTAACGTTACATGTAAATTTCAACCTACAATTCAACACTGTTATACGTCATGTACGTGTCCCTTTAATTTACATGTAAATAAAAGTGGAAGTGAACCTTTTGCATCCCGATTTGAGAATCTCTTAAAAAAACCTGAAGGGGATTTGAAAGTTTAAACTACACTTCAGCTTTGTTCAGTCAAATCAAAATAGGAAAATGTCAAACCAACACGGGTGCACCCACATGCGAATGTGACAATGTTTACGTATGATTATGGTCTGACACTGGGGGTTTCCTACGCGAATTCAATGAGCCCACACCCTGTACATGAACAAGTATGTACATGTATGCAGGGAGCAACATTTTCATGATGACCAAAACTTCATGGCACACCGCGCTTTCTGCTTTAAAAGCACCCCGTAAAGAAGATCAATACTGATTGGCTCTCTTGTCACTGAAAACCGATACTGACCAATGAAAACATGTAACAGATTGTACCATGTACAGCGAAACTGCGCGCGACATACATGCACATGCAAGCATATGTACAAAGACAGCATGCATCCTACACATGCGTGCAGGGCTGGCTGGCTGGTCTGAAAGCAGGCCGCGCTGGCAATGTAATGATCGAAATATACCGGTACATGTAAGCCTACCGGTACGTATAAAAGTTGCGGCGGGATAAATGTGAAATCGTAAGTTACAAACAAATCACAGTCCTTTTTGGTGATGTTATCCACTGTTTGTCATATCGTTCGTTATTTTTAAGTGCCCTTACATTTCCTTAGGGGCCCAATTTTTTTTTATTATGCTCCTTTAAAAGGAAAGACTGATGTACACATATGTATACAGTGATGCAGATGTCTAAACAACAATCTTTATTGCTACACCACATAACCTGTAGATTCCACATAAAACGGTTTCTTTACTTGTACATGTACATGTATGTGATCTGCTAGACCTGTAAAAATGAGTCATACATGTACATGTACATTTGTAAGTCACTGGGGCCACTTTTTGAGTTTTACTTTGTGTTAGATTTATTCAGAGTTTATCCCACTTCACTTAGAAATGTGGGACGCCTACCGGTACAGTGTACTAGCACTCCATATTCAGTTAACCATGGTACCGGTACATGTATATGTAATTTATCATGTACTGTCATTTTTTCAATACCCTGCAACTACCGGTGTGGTTGCATAGTATGCCAGCAGGGTCAAGGTTACAATCGATTCACAATTGGAATAATACAAAAGAGGTACATGTATTAACCCTAACCCACCTCAATTCTCCAAAAATCCTCCGGGTGGTTTGGAGGATTGAGGATGAATGACGATCTGAACATTGGAGGATTTTGGAGGATTGAGGATGAAAGGTGTTGAAGCATGGAGGATTTCATCGGACTGAGGGTGAATGCCGATTTAAAAGCTGGAGGATTTTAGAGGATTGAGGATGAATGGTGAATGAAGTACTAAAAATCAGTCACTTATTGGTGCATATGCTCATGCATTATACTGTTTATAAAATACTGTACATGTACATGTACAGTACATTTACCTAAAGACAGTGTGTTCCATTGTTCACTACTGCTGGTCATAAATTACACAATAACTGCATTTTGTTAAAACAAAGGCACATGTCTGCTATGTTTATTACAAAAGTAAAGCCATTAGCCAACTCTGCAAAAAAACAGCTTCAGCCCAGCAACCAACCTGATGTACCCAAACCTCCCCCAATCCTCAAAAACCAAACTAGGGCTATGGAGGATTTTGGAGGATTGAGGATGAATGCAATTTTGAAGTTGGGCAATTGGAGGATTTGGGGGATTGAGGACATGCTCTAATAAAAAGGCCCTAATAACTAGGGGTTAACCCTACATGTGCAACTGCCAAGCATATTGTTTGGTTTACAGTACTCAGTACTACAAAATACTAAGTAGTAGTCTGAGCCTGAAGGACCTAGCGCTACAGATTACTACTTCTGGCTAGGTTCCTTCCATTGTTACTGGTACAGATAACAATAAAGCCATGCATTCATAGTGCCACAGCACTGTATGGTACTGTACATTGTCTTATCTACTGCATCTTATGGCTTCACAGAACAATAAAGTCTTGTCCTCTTACAAGCGGCAGCGCTCAGTGCTACATTTTACTACAAGTAGTAATTTGTAGTATTATGTAGGGTTAGGGTTAATAACTTTAAAAAGTCCCAGTGCAGGTAACGGTACATGCACATGTATCTTTAAAACCGACAATATGTGTACAGTCGACTTTCGGTAATATGAGCTCGGGTAAGACAAGACTCCGGTTAAGACGAGTGTATTTGCCGGTCCCGACTGAATTATGCACATTCCTATGAGGAAAAAAATCCATAATACAAGCTCGCGTGTTACGAGATTCCGTTTAAGACGAGCATTTTGGGGGCCCTAGCTGCGTGCAAATGTATTGTTATCCGTTTAATTAGCACAAGCGTATTTGAAGGCAACTTGTCAATCGACTTGACCGGTTTCTCCGTTCTTGTATTATGTTATTGTTCTTTATTTCAAGTCTTCATTCATAAAAAGTACAGTTACTTCTCACTTTCATAAACATTAACTGTTTTAAAATAAAATTCCAAACCACACGTACGTGCATACAAAGTACATGTAGGCCTACATGTATGTACAGGAAGTTGTACATGTACATGATGTACGCTTAACGATGCGGTCGATCGATTATACATGCGACAAGCGGGACAGCAGCTTTCGCGCAAGACGAGGTTCGGATAATATGAGCTAATTTAGAAAGTCCCAAGGCCCTCGTATTAATGAGAGTCGACTGTAAACTGTTATTTTTATTAACTTTTAGAATGTAGAAAAGTAAAAAACCTTTTAAAGACACAAAGCTAATGACCTCTCATATAAAAAAGTTTCACATTTCTGAAAAGTCACGGGTCTCACATTGTACAGTGTACATACTGCACAAACTTCAGCAAAGACACTTCCCTCTGGCACGTACATGCAATTTTGAGGATCAAAATGCATTCTTAGGCCTGTTCATTTCAGATTGATCCAGATCTCAATCGGTGATCCTAATGCTGGTTTACTCCACCCACTAGGCAGGTTTTTGGTGTCCATACATGTAAACTAACCATGGATCACTAATCATGATCCAGATTAGTGTGACACAAACAAGGCCTTCAACAACAGCTCTCCTACCATTTTGTCTACAGGGAAGTGCACACACATTCCCAACTCATTTAACCTAAAAAGAGTTAGGGTTTTTTGGGACCATCTCACAACCAGAAGGTGAGGACCAGGGGCCTGGGAGGGGGGGAGGAATCCGGAATAAATTGTTCATTACTGCAACCTCAAAGTAAGGTTAGCAGTTAAAATGCAGCCTTAGTTACAGTAGGTTGACCAATTTTCAATTTTTTATGTTAAACAGAAATAAAGGCTTTTAAAATGCTGCAGATAAAAGCAATTCACTGGTGCCAAAATGCCGCAATGCATCCAAACTTAGAGATTTTCACAAGAAAACTATTAAAGATGTCAAGCGCAAACTTGTTTTTCTCTTCGTTTTGCATGCCAAGTTATTTTGAGAATTTGTTTCAAGGCAAACGTAAGTCAAGTCATATGGAAAGTACCCTGAGTTTGCATTTATAAACCAAAAACAACAAACAAAATAAACACCCCTCCCCCAAAAAAGAAGAAAGAATATGTGGTTACAACAGAAAAACAGCAAGGGAAATGGCAAATTCTGCTCTGTCCTAAAAATTAATACTGTAAACAAATACTGAATTATGTGTAACAAATACTAGTTGAAAGTGACCAAAAAATTAAAGTTAACGGTTGCCAGTAGATTCAAGTCTTTCAATTTTACACACAGCATTCCTCTCAATTATTTGGAAGAAATTTTCCTCCTTGCTGCCTTAAATGATGGACTCATAAATCCATAATTGCTTCACTCAATGCCAACAGACAAGCCCATGTAAAATGTAGCCTGCATGCAAAATGCTAGACCCGTGAATTCACACATTATGCACCTGCAGTTACAATGTATTACTCACTGCAAACAACTTCCAAACAGCTTCACGTTTCACCACTAATTTCAATTATAAATAAAAAATGTACCCCAAGTACATGTACATGTATGTCAAGCCAAAAGGCACAGGAATGAATTAATTTTTTACTCAACAGTTGCTATGGTAATAATGGGGGGACCATTAAGTTATAGGAGGGAACCAAGTACATGTGCCATATACATGTACATGATATATGTATCAGTACATGCAATATGTCAGGCATACAGCTTGACTTCAAAGCTATACTGTCCAATCATTTTTCATTTTTTTCTTAAAATAAATAATTTTGT